TAGAGCATGGAACTCTTGATCTCAGAGTCATGAGTTCAAGCTCCACGTTGGGGGTAGAGATTACTTTTTTAAAAAGGGGATTAGGGGAGATACCTGGATAAAAGAACCAAGAAATCAGTATGTAAAATTCTAGAAAGACCAGGAGGGTAAAGAAATCTACTTACTCTCCAGTCTTTCCCACTATGAAGTGGTTTAACTATGAATTCAGTGTATTTAAATATATATGCCTGCCCTTTTGCCTTAATCTTTACATTTCCATATTTATGTAAAATATTAAATCTATTTTTCTGTTTAACCTACAACAAGATTCACATATATCTTTACAAATGACTAACATCCAGGGTATTCTCACATCTTTTAGGGAACTGATGGAGTAGAATATTTGTTAATTCCTGTGGACAATGGAACATTGACCGATTTCCTGGAAAAGGAAGAAGAAGAGTCTTGAAGCTGCCCTTTACTCTTCTTCTGTAGAAGGGTTGTTGGACCCCAGCTGCCACTCCTCTAAAGTGTTGTGTTTACATCTAACATTAGACACTTTTTTCCAGTGTATAAGACTTAAAATTAGGAGGGGGAATGTCATCGATTAGAACCTTGATTAGCCTGGCTGGTATACCATCTCTAGTACTATGCAGTGGTCCTCAAGTAGGAGAAAACGTGCCTTTCATTCATTACCTCTCTGGAGACTTCATGCTGGAATGAACAGTGTGCTCAGGGACTATTTGGAGCTGGTTGTTTTTGAATTCTTTTATACTAGAGATGATATTATTCCTAATTTTTTGAGGGCCTTTTAAACACCCCCCAGAGCTGATTGTTTGCAAATGTGTTTATTCTAGAGTATGGAAGTACAAAAACATTGGCATCACATAAATCTACTTTATTTGCTCTTCTGTCAGAGCTGATGAGTATAAAGGAGAAGGCAGATCATCTCCCTGTTCTTGAAAGGCTTAACAAAAGGTGTGTAAGACTGGGGAAGAGTAGGTGATGTCGCTTTCTCCTTTTGGATTTAGATTACATGCTGGTGGGGGTAGGGAGGAAGAGGGCATGACACTATTTCGTTGGGACAGTGGGAAAAGCATAATGAGTATATAAGATGTGTACCCACCTTAGCACATGAACAATAATCATGGTACTTGGAACAATTAATATCTGTGCCATCATCCTGACACAAGTGAGAAGCCAGGCTACAGAAACACAATCCTGAATTACATTTTAGTCATTGTTTTCAAGAAAACAGAAAATAAAAATTCAGTTATTCTTCTATTGACATTTTTTCTTCAGTAACATGCAAGTGAGTAGCATATAAATGGCTGCTTTAATCTTGATTTCTCTATCAAGTAGACCTAAAACTCACTGTAAGACTTTTCAGTTTTTTTCTTAAAGTAATAATTTCAAGCCTTCGAAATATTTACACAAGTCTTTTTCCTTAGGAAAGAGAAAAAGGCTAACTTTGGCCACTGGTCGGCTTGTAGTCTTCACATACTCCCTTAAAATTATTATTTCATACTTGGAAAAAAATTCTTCATTGAAATACCACTGTAATAAGATAGAAGTGAAAAATGCTGATGCAGTTAACTTGTAAACCCCTTTCATGAAAATATTTCCCTAAATGCTCAGAGTTGGAAGTCATTTATTTGTGCCATCTAATTAATTTTGTTAAATCCACATGAGAGTTTAGTCTTAAATATAATCAAAATATTTAAATCTGTACATGAATTTGATTCTAAAAATTTTTGTCACCGAAGGATATTCAATGAAGTGAGTTTTCCTTCCAGTCCCTATGCCAACCAGTGATAGGAGTTTATTCCTCCAGAGGTATTCTATGCACATGGAAGAATATGTCTATATCTCCTTTTAAAAACACAAATGGTAGCATATGATTTGTACTGGTTTGCACCTTGCTTTTTTTGCTTAATGTCTAGTTTATAACTTATAGTATTATAAAGTATATAAAATCTTTAATGACCTAATATGCAAGTTTTGCATTTGCCCTTAAATATCTACTGGTTTATTTTTATAGTTTTTGTGTCCATACTACTTGCAAGCAGTTATGTGTCAATAGTCTATTAATAAATAAAAAGCCAATTTGGATAGAATCATTTTTTTAGTACTGATTTTTTACTAAAAATAATTAGAAGTCCTTCAAATATTTTATAAGTGCATCTTATAGACCTGATGAAGATCTTAGCAGAATTATTCTACACTCTTCATTTACTTGTTTCAGTATTGATGTTCCTTATACTGTCAGTGACGAGCTTGACTGCTAAGGCTCCAACTTCTGTTGTTACTTGCTTCTGACAAGAAATAACAGACCTGAAAAACTATTAGGAGACAGCTAATAGATTTTTTTTCTTTATCTTTTAAAAAAGTTACTTACTTTAGAAGTGATTCAAATGTGGAGCCAGTAACATTGTTCAGAATGTATTTTCCTACATTCTAGGTGAGAAGACTCTTCCAGCCTAGTCCTGAGTAGCCAACAGGTGACAAAGTCATGAGGGTCTGCCTTATCACAGACTGTATGGCCTCTAAAACTAAGGGATAAAAGAAGTGTTATGCAAATGACTTTGTTCTAGGCTTTCTACAATTCTCCCTTAGGAGAGTCGCCTACATTTTTTCAAATTGCTGCTAAAACATTTTTAATCCATGTTTGTTGAACGCTCATTACACAGAAGGCTCTATGCTAGAACAGGAGTTTTAAGGACATGAAGGTCAAGTACAGAATATCTAGTATGAGATTTTAATAGCATTAATAGTATCCTTACTATGCTGAATAAAATAAACTTGAAATAACTGATGCTGTAGACAATATGACATTAAATGTGAGTATAATAAAAGAAAACTACAAAATTTTCATAATTTTGGCATGTAGCACACTTTGGCCTCAAGCCCTCCCAAGTATTCATGTCACCATTGTTACTTTTCCTACCTCAAGTGTAGTCCTCAAGATGGCAGCAGCAGTATCTCTTGGGAACTCAAATGCCTGGGCCCTACTCAAGCATCTGAATCAATCTGCATTTTTTGTAATGCATTTTTTTTTACATTTATTCATTTTTCAGAGACAGAGCACGAGTGGGGGAGGGGCAGAGAGGGAGACACTGAATCCAAAGCAGGCTCCAGGCTCCAAACTGTCAGCACAGAGCCTGACGCAGGGCTCGAACTCATAAACTATGAGATCATGACCTGAGCCAAAGACAGACGCTTAACCGACTGAGCCACCCAGGTGCCCCTTTTGTAATGCATTTTTAAACTACATCTCCAGATGTTCTTGTGCACATTCAAGTTTGAAAAGCAATGATAACACCTTAAAGTTAACAGTTCAGAAAATTTGACAAGCGAAAATAAAGAATTCATCTTCAGTAGTACTTTATGTTTTAAAAACTACAGAGGATATATTTGAGAGTACTTTTAGTTACTTAAAAATGCTAGCATGCCAGTAAAGAAACTTAAAAAAAAGTGACATTACTACTACAATTTTTAAAGCTTATTTTGAGACAAAGAGACATGACAAGTTGAGAGGGTAGGGGTGGGGAGCGGGGAGATTGCCAAGCAGGCTCCACACTATCAGCACAGACCTGATGCGGGGCTCAGACTCATAAACAGCTAGATCATCTTGACCCCAGCAAAATCAAGAGTCGGACACTTAACCAACTGGGCCACCTGGGCACCCCAATAATGTCATTCTTTAAAAAAAAAAAAAAACTCTTTAGCAATAAGTATGTCCAATCATGAATTCTTCGATCCATTAAATCCCCTCTGGAACTCTATCCAAAGGAATTAATCCACAACCTTCAGCATGAGTAACTGTTAAGTGTGCCATAAAGAGAAAAAAAGTTTGAGAAATTACTGGCCCCAAGCTATTTCTTAAGTACCATCTCTGACAATACCGTTCATGTCTCCTGCTTTCTGCCCTGACAAGTGAATTAATTATTTGGGCTTTTTCAATGCATTGTGTGGTTCCTCTTTACTTGGTGTTTGTTCACGCTGTACCTCTTGACTGAAATCTATCCCCATTCCTCAGATAACTTTCCCTGTAAGCCCTCTGCATATCCTTAGCATAGTTAATTACAATATACTCTAAAATATTATCCAAATTTCTGTCCTATTCTCCCCACTTCTTTATGGGCCCAGCACATAGAACACAATGACTGAGGCAAATGCCATTAAGATGGTCTCTCAAAGCTGTCTGCTATCTCATTCTCTCTACCTTGGTGTCAACCATCCCTCATCCAAGCTTTCTACTTGGGCTTCTGAATCTTTTCTGGTTCTCCTCCCACCTCCTCTCTTGGCTCCTCCTCTGACTCTAACTGGGGACATTTCTTAAGGCTCAGTCCTATCGAGTTACTTCTGCAGTGAATCAATATTACAGCAAACCACCAAGAATAATTTGTGAGTCAGGATCCCAAATCCTCTGGGCGATGATTGGTAGGAAGAGGGTCCTACAAAAGAAATGTAAAATCCTTTGACAGCATTTTACAAGATTTGCTTTATTACCAAAGTAAAAAGCTCAGCAGAGAAACTGGAAATATAAGTATTCAAACGAAAAACCTCCCATACCAGCCAGAGAAAATCCCAGTGAAAATGGATTTCTTTTCCTTCAGAATTCCTTATATAACTCCTATATCAGTTTTATTGTCAGTGTTAAGAAGTAAAGAACACAGACCATGAAGCAAGGCTACCACATTTTGTGTCCTAACTCCTTCACTCCCTATCTACGTGGCTTTGGACAAACTCCTTAACCTCTGTTTCAGTTCACTCATCTGTAAAATGGAAATAATAATAATACCTGTATTCTTATTTATAGGGATTGAAACTGTTTATAACATACCTGAGAGGGCCTAGCACAAAATTAATACTGTATAATAACTGGTATTATTTTGAAAGCTAACCATCTTTTATGTATTACTAATAAAATTACAGGTAAGTTACCCAAAAGCAATAAAACAATAGTTATGAATAATGGTCATGTATATTAAGAAAAAAACCACAAAAACAAAACCTCATCCTGATTCTGAAATTTATGTGAGACATTAGTGATCTATGAACAGGAACATACAGACATACCTTATCACCCCCTAGAGGCTGCTACCTAGAAATCAGTATTCTAATCTCAAGTTTTTTAAACTAACCAAGAGCAGAGAGATCTCAAATGACAGATCTCATCTATAATTAAGCTAAGAAGAAGGTACTTACCAAGAATGTTAAGTAATCTTCCTGGAGTTGATAAATATGTACTTCACATTGTATCATAATCTTAATTCATCTTATAATAAATATTTGTTAATAGTAGTTTGTTTAATACGTTTAATTGTTAAGTGTTTAATACATTATGGTTTTTACCATACAAGCTACAGACTATTTGGTGAAGCAGATTTACAAACCAGAAATAGTGTACATTCTAAGACATTCTTCCAGACGGATACTAAGTCTGCTGATTCCTGTTACGCATTCAAGTTGGGAGCAAATCAATTTGTAGACTCTGTCATCTTGTTGTCCCTGTATGCTTTAAATCACATGAAGAGGGTCCCTGTCTCTTTCTGACAGGATAATATTAATCTTATTTTCCAAGTGAGCGCCCAGCATATCTCGAAGATCAGAAAGAAAACCTCGTTCAGTGTTGCTATGTTCACAGAGGATGACATTTATTCCTTGGGATGCAGCATCCAGAACATCATGATGGGACATCTCACCTGCCAACAAAGGAAAGAGCAAATACTTAAATATTAGACACAGAGTCTGTGGAATGCTGAACCATAACTGCAGAAACACCAAGAATTCATCGTGTAAAAAGCAGAACTTTACACATAAATCTAGAAAGTAATGTACAGGTTTCTTAGGTGTCTTCCAATTTAGAAAGAGACAGATCATCCCAATGAGAATTCCAAATTCTTCCTCCTTGGCAGACTCAGACAAGAATCCAAACTCCCGTATGCAATAGCATCTAATACCGCCAGAACCAGATCTACAAGAACACCCATTCAAAATGTTTCCATAAGAAGATAAACGAGTACTGCTAAGTCAACTGGGGCTTTCAGAAAATTTCTCATCTATATCAATATCAAATAACAAAATATCTCCAGAAAATCCTAGGTATAGTTCCCAAACACTTCTTTATGCTTTGTGAACACCAAAATCTTCAGTATCGGCTCTACTCTAATAAGGATAAAACAAGCTTAAGGTTACTTCTAAATTAAAGACAAGGTAAATAAATAAATAAATAAATAAATAAATAAATAAATAAATTACAGGGTATTTATTTTCCTTTAACTTAGGCAAAATTCCTAGAAATTCTGAAGTTACTGGTAGAAGAGGAGCTCCTCTTTTGTAAAAAGGTTTAAAAAAACTCCAGTGTTCTGTATTTTTTGTAATGTGTATATAGAGAAGGAGCACAAGCACATGCATGGGTGGTGCAGAGAGAATCTCAAGCAGGCTCTGTGCTGTCAGCACAGAGCCCCACAGTACAATCTCACTGTTCATGAGATCTTGACCTGAGCCAAAATTAATAGCCAAGACGTTTAACTGACTGAGCCACCCAGGCGCCCCAATAGTTGCTTTTTCCTATTTTAGAGACAGTGTGTGTGTACGCAAGGGAGGGGCAGGATAGGGAATCCCAAGCAGGCTCCATGCTCATTGCAGAGTCCAACAGGGCTTGATCCCATGACCCTGGGATCATGACTGAGGCAAAATCAAGAGCCAGATGTTCAACTGACTGAGCCACCCAGGTGCCCCCTCAAGCGTCTTGAATTTTTTAAAAATACTATTTGTGAATTTGAGGACTTCTGATTTTACAGCAAAAATACACAATTTAGCTTGTTCATAACAAGTCTAATTTTGAAATATGTTTAGAGCCCTGAAAACATCAAAAAATAAGGTTCTTAGGGAAAGGTTCAATCCTCCACACTTTCCTGCTCCCCAATACATGTCATTTCATATATGGGATATTTTTTATTCAATACTCTTTTAAAATATCTTAATCTGTAATAGTAAACGTAATAGTAAATAGTAAAGGTAATAGTAAAGGTAAATAGGAAAGTAAAAAGAAGAAAGACACTAAGGGGCCCAGTTAGAAGCCATGCTTCAGGAGAGACAAGTCTGGTGACCTGGACAATTATAAATGCTGTGAGGAGAAGGCATGAAAGGCAGGGCGGGGACAGGGGGATCTGCAAAGACTCTGTACTAGCTGAAGGCAAAGGGAAGAAAAGCCTAGCTTAGGAGGGTAGCTGTGGGAAAGAAGCAAATGAGAATTCATATTTACAAGGAGCAAATCTGCTGATCTTTCTAGGATACTACCCTTAACACCCTGATACTACCATGTTACACTCAGAGTAAGGGTGATGAACATCAGGAGAGGCCTATATGCACCTTTGACCTGGTGCTTTTCATCCCTAAAGTTATACTCAAAGCGACGCCTCACAGATCATAGACATCTAAGGTCAGCCAGGTAAGAAGATACTTTCTATTTCCCCAAGTAACCAGATAGGAAGGCTATTTTAACAATTTTGAACTGCATGAATTTATCTTATGCACATATTGCTTAAAAGTGTAAACAAAGAAAACTAGGGGTGCCTGGGTGGCTCAGTGAGTTGAGTGTCTCTTGATTTTGGCTCAGGTCATGATCCCAGGGTCATGGGATGGAGTCCCACATCAGGCTCCATGCAAAGTATAGAGCCTGCTTAAGATTCTCTTTCTCTTCCTCTGCCCCTCCCTCCCACTTGTGCACTCTCTAAAAACAAAGAATAAAAACAAAAACATTTTAAAAGTCTCTTTCAAGCCTATTAAAAAAAAAGAACTAGTTTTAAGAAAGTCATTATTTATAAGGAAATAATCACATCCCCCAAATTTAGAGATATACCACAAAACAAATGGCCTATACTCTTCAAAAATGTCAATGCTCTGGACAGAGCCGAGAAACTCTTTTAGATGCAGTGTGTGCTCACAGATTAGGTATCAATCAGAAAAAGATATGCAATTCTAATCATTTGGCAAAATTTAAATATAGACTACATATTAAGTAAGTGTCTTAACAATCCTAAATTCTGTATTTGATCATTGGTCATAAAAGAAAATGTCCTTAGTTCTTAGGAGATATATGCTGATGTTTCTGGGATAAAAGGTCATGTATGAAATTTATTACAAAATGGTTTCAGGGGAAACACATAAATATAAATATATTTATATGCACACCCATAGATATATATTTATACACATACACAGAATATGTATGTAACACAGAATATGCAAATGTAGCAAAATACAACCATTAGTGTACAAAGTGCCTCCAAATCTTCTGAATGATGGGCCTTGTACCTATTAGATGTTACCCTCAAGGACAGAGTATAAAGCTGAACAATTACCATCTGATAGAAATGCATACCGGAGGTTAAGTAGAAAGCAACAGGAGGGGCACCTGGGTGGCTCAGGCAGCTGAGTGTCCGACTCTTGATTTCAGCTCAGATCAGGATCCCAGGGTCTTGGAAATGAGCCCCACGTCAGGCTCTGTACTGACTGTGAAGTCTGCTTAAGATATTCTCTCTCTCTCTCCCCCTTTGCCCCTCTGCCCCTCTCCCCTGCTCATTCTCGCTCTAAAATTAAAAAATGAAGAATTAAAAAAAAATGATAAAGCAATAGTAATTGGAGAGGAAGGCATGACCATCAGGGCAGGAGCCAGACAGTGTCAGAAAAAGCTTCTCAGAGAAGGTATCTTGAACTTATCACTAGAAGTAAAGGGCAAGGAAGGCATTCTAGCCAGAGAAAACAGCAGAAGGCTGCATGAAAGAGGATGAATGTTCAGGCCTGACCAGGACACGTGAAAGAAACCACTAAAGACTTTCTAGCTAGGATAATATTATATACCATCAAATTTGTACTTTTGAAAGAAAAGTTAATTTGAGGGTTGTATGTGGAAGACTTAAGATTAGATTTAAGTATTTCATGTAGAAGATGATGCTTGAATAGAGATAAGAGGAAAGGCTCTATAAAGATTCTGGATGGGGTGCCTGTGTGGCCTAATTGGTTGAGCATCCAACTCTTGATTTCGGCTCAGGTCATTATCTCATGGTTCATGGGTTCAAAAATAAATAAACCTTAAAAAAAAAGATTCTGGAGCTAGAACTGATAGGAACTAATGATTGGCTTTAGTGGCTTTAGCTAAGGTGGAAAGGTAGAAAGTGTCCCATTAACAGACATGAAATCTATGAGAATGTTTAGGAAGAACACAGGTTAAATAAATACTGAACACAAGTTTTTAAGATAATCTAACAGTTAATTGTTTAATGACTTTTTTTTCCCTCTAAAAGAATATGGTTTAAATTTACTAGTAAAAAAATAAATAAATAAATAAATAAAATAAAAGAATACGGTCTATCTCCAATTTCAGTGCAGTTCCTATTTAGTTCAGGTTCAAACAACAGGTATTAGATTCATCTATATGCCAGGTGCTGGCTTAAAAACCTGGTTTTTTTTCCTTATAAAAAATAAAGCTGGGAATGATACACACAAAAAAGAAAAGGAGACCCAGAGGCTATCGTACCTGTGAGGTAAAGGTCAGCCTCTACCCCCTGCAGCACGGTGCTCCCAGAACCAGCACACAGGGCCACGACTCTGACTGGAGACTCTTCAAAATAAAGGAAACAAGAGACCAACACATTACAATTCCCCTTCATTTTAATATTATAATTTGTATCAATAATCTTTCACATAATGCAGACTTTACTCCTGGTCTCATTACCAGTAAATGAACTTTGCTTACTGAATTTAAAAAAATAATAAAACACATCTTCATATAGACAGATGATTCTTTGGTATTGCAAAAATAACCCAATGCAGGGCTATTAATTCCTTCAAACAGACATAGCTGTGCACAAGCCCACATAAGGCTGGTAAAGTGACCATCCTGGTTTTCCAGGCAACAGCGAGAGATAGGCAGGTACCAGCTCCTTCTCAGGTGAGGGACTAAAAGGGCTAGTTATAGGAATGCTACAAACTCATTTGACATGTATTTTTAAATATCATATTTAAGTGCTCGCTTCGGCAGCACATATACTAAATATCATATTTAACTCAAAAGAACAACCTCTGTAGAGTTGCTGTAGAGTAAAATAACAGAAACTTTGAAGCCCAAATCCAACAAGTATTTAGCACTTAAGGCTTCTAGAATGGACACTTCATTACTGGTCATTCCACCAGCGGTATTTTAAGAGAGAGGCTGAGCGTGCCCTCTGTATGGAGAGCTCTGGGACCCCCTGGCCTATACCTATTTCAGGTACAGCTGTACTGCCAGGGTGCCCCCTGTGCAAAGCACTCAGGTTCCCCCCCACCAGTCCATGCCTCACCTCAGCTCCACAGAGCACACAGAGCACCCTGGAACACTTGGCTTACATCCACTTCAGCTTCAGTTATCCTGCCAAGGCATTCTCTGAGAGCCTTAGGACCACCCCAGTCCATGCCCACTTTAGCTCCAACCATCCCACGAGGGCAGCTCCAGCACAGAGTGCCCTGGGAGTCTGCCCATGCCCAACACCATTCCAGCCAACCAAAGTCACCAGGCACACAGTCTACTCAGGGATGACCATACATAAGACCATTCCTTCAAGTTGGGGAGAAGCAGCTGTTCCGCATAATTCATAGAAGTGAACACAGAAACTCAAGCAAAATGAGAAGACAGAAGAATATGATCCACATGAAAGAATAAAATGAAACTTCAGAGAAAGAACTAAATGAAACAGGGAGAAGTAATACTCCAGGTAAAGAGTTTAAGGTAATGGTCATAAAGATGCTCACCAGACTGGAGAGAAGAGTGGAAGAACTCAGTGAGAACTTCAACATAGAGACAGAAATTTTTTTTTTTTTTAAAACCTATCAGGCTACCTGGTAGCTCAGTTGGCTGAGCATCAACTTTGGTTCAGGTTATGATCTCGTGGTTTGTGAGTTCAAGCCCCACAATGGGCTCACTGCTCTCAGTGCAGAGCCTGCTTCAGATCCTGTGTCCCTCTCTCTCTGCCCATCCCCCACTTGTGCTCTCTCAAAAATAAACAAAACATTTAAAAAAACCCTACCAGAAATGGAGAATATAACTGCAATGAAAAATACATTAGAGGGAATTAACAAATGCAGAACAGATCAGTGATCTGAAAAACTGATAATGGAACACAGCCAACCTGAACAGAAAAAGAAAAAAAAAAATTTAATGAGGATAGGTTAAGGGATCTCTTCAACATCAAGTGAACAATCATAGCATATATCGGTCTCAGAAGGAGAAGAAAGAAAAAGGCAGAAAATTTATTTGAAGAAATAACAGTTGGGAAGCCTGGGTGGTTCAGTCAGTTGAGCGTCCAATGTCAGCCCAGATCATGATCTCACAGTTTCTGAGTTCGAGCCCCATGTTGGCTTTGCACTGACAGCACAGAGTCAACTTTAGATCCTGTCTCCTTCCCTCCCTCTCTCTCTCTGCCTCTCTCCCACTCATGCTTGCTCTGTCTCAAAAATAAACATTAAAGGGCGCCTGGGTGGCGCAGTCGGTTAAGCGTCCGACTTCAGCCAGGTCACGATCTCGCGGTCCGTGAGTTCGAGCCCCGCGTCAGGCTCTGGGCTGATGGCTCAGAGCCTGGAGCCTGTTTCTGATTCTGTGTCTCCCTCTCTCTCTGCCCCTCCCCCGTTCATGCTCTGTCTCTGTCTGTCCCAAAAATAAATAAACGTTTGAAAAAAAAAAAATTTAAAAATAAACATTAAAAAAAAATTTAATAAAAAATAAAAATAAATTTAAAAAAGAAAGAAAGAATAGCTGAAAACTTCCCTGACCTGGAGAAGGAAACACAGAGAGTCCAAACAAGACACACCCAAGGAGATCCACACCATGACACATAATAACTGAAATGTCCAAGACTAAAGATAAAGAGAATTTTAAAAGAAGTAACTGAGAAGCAAAAAGTTATTTATATGGAAAACTCTGGAAGGCGATCAGCTGATTTTCAGCAGAAATTTTGCAGGCCAAAAGGGAATGTATCATGATATATTCAAAATGCTAAAAGGAAAAAAACCCACCATCAAGAATAATCTACCCAGGGGGTACCTGGGTGGCTCAGTTGGCTAAGCATCCAGCTCTTGACTTCAGCTCTAGTCATGATCTCATGGTTTCATGGGTTCAAGCCCCACATTAGGCTCCATGCTGACACTGCGGAGCCTGATTGAGATTCTGTCTCCCTCTCTCTGCCCCTCCCCTGCTCATGTGCTCTCTCTCTCTCTCTCAAAAAAAAAAAAAAAAAAAAAAAAAAAAAAA